TATCTTTTTTTCCGTCACTTTTCAGATTATCGTTGGTCTCTGGTATTTATAATAGACATTACGAGTTTATTTTTGTCTTTGACTATTATAATTTTCGATTTTGAATTTCTTAATTTTTAAGAAAACAGAACATAATAAAGAATTAAATATAATAATAAAACAAGCTAAGAATATCTATCACATGTCTTGCATAAAACACAGTCTTTCGTCATATTTAACTTTTAAATAAAATATTTTTTCTCAACTAAAAAAAACGTTTTGAAATTATAACTTTCCCTAACTCAAACTGGTTCTTTACGTAGTTTACTTAAGATTTTAATTTAAAAGGAAAAAATAGCAAAATGCTTAATGCAGCAGTTTATCATACAAAGTGTAGAGCAACTTTCTCATTATTGTTGCAACTTATATTGTGAATGAAAGGGGAGCGGATGTATAGCGGCGGGTGGGGGAGGGGGACGTCAAGTGCACCAGCAAATGGCCAGCGATATCTACTAAGAACATCGCTTGTTATATCGACATTGTATCTCTCAGGTCAACGCTTTAATCCGAGTGTATAAAAAGCAGTAAGTAAATATAACTTCATTTGCTTCTAAAGCTCTTTTAGGAAATGTTGGTTTCTGATACCAAAGTCTGTTTAAAACATCGTCATTTTATTATCTTTAGATATAATATGTTTAAAACGGATATTTTGGTCTCAGAAACCTACGGTAAGACGCTTTTCTTTTGTGGATTTTTCTGGAATTAACTGCTACCAAAACATTTATGATATTTTTGTGCCAGTGTCCAGACAATATCAACTCACATATTTTGTCATTTTTCTTTTCAAAAAAATGACTATATTATTGTTATTAAAAACAATAATGTAATCGTTACAAACGGAATTGTTTATTTAATTTTAACTTTAATAATATTAAAGGAATACCAAAATAGGATAGTAATTAATTTAACTAAATTATGTTTACGCGAAGAACACATTTATAATAGACATGTCCTTAAGCTTCCAGTCGATTGGCGAACAATGTGCTTGAACAGTAAATTAATTAACGTTAAAACCACACTTTCGCCGCGAGCACAATCAAAATTTACAATTGTTTGACGTCGAAGTCAACTCCGTTAAAAGCGATTACAAATATAACCTTAATTATTGCATAACGTACTATTTTATTGTTTCAATATCGACTTCTAAACATCTTGTATTATGTATTAAATATTTCATTAATTTTGTACCCAAACGGTGGACAATTTTACAAATTTCTTCGCAATTTTTTTTTTGACACCCTTTAAAATTATATACATCTTCCCAGTCTTGACATTATCAGTGTCTACTTTAAAACAAGGAAACTTGGTTAAGGAATTTGTTTTGCTTGTAATACCTAATAAAAAGTCGACGTCTTAAATATTTTAGATTTTTACTTACTGTTAAATTCGAAGTTAACATACAATTTTGTAATTAAATCAAGATGAAATAACTTTTTTACTTATAGTATTATTATATAATCAATTTATCCGTGAAGCGTGCAAAGCTTCGGTGTCAAGAAGTCGGCTGGGTTGAGTCGCGAGGGCAAAAGAAAATCAATTACACACATCTGAGAAGCGTCTTCGCAAATCCAGTTAGCACTGGATTCCTTTATTGTATTAATCGCACTGCTCAAATGAGTTGGGTTATGTTTTTCTTAGCACAATTTATTTTTGTTCAAGCGTAATTTAGATTACTTTTGTCAACAAATGATCAAATCTCCACTAACACCAGGTGGGATCGTGGTCAAGCGCTAGCTTATAAAACGTAAAAAAAACAACAGAAGGATATTTTGAGTGTTTATATTTGTATGTATGTGGATTAGTAGGCATATTTCCTTTCTATTTTAACCATCAGTAGACTAGTTTGGCAATATTTTAGGAGATTCTCCTTGTTGTAAGGTCAGCTGGGTTAATTATAATAGTAACTAAAAATTAATCATAT